GATCAGCGGCAGCTCACGCTCATCCAGGTACAGGGGGGTGGGGCCCTGGAGCCCGGCGACCCCGTCCTTCTGTCCCGGGGCCGCTAGGACGCCGGCTCCCTCTCTGTATAGGGCCCGGAGCCTATCCTGGAGCTAATGTCACGGCTGTGACGCCATTGTGGCGGCGTTCTAGGCCCCGCCTAGTCCTGACATTCAATGCCTTGAGTCCAAGGCCCCTCCCAGCTCTGACAGTCTCCGTTCTAAGGGCCCTCGCACCTTCTACTTTGTATGTGCTAAGTTTTCTTTCACTTTATAGACTTTTATAGAAGAATAATTTAATTAATTACACAAACAACTGGCAAGGCTGCCCCAGCATCTTCCCTAAGGGGCTTGTAGTCAGGCGGAGGGTGCCTACCCACTCATGCAAGCACAGGTTAGGCACGAAGAAGGCCTCCCAGAATCTGAGGTTGAGAGCTGGAAGGAGCCTCAGAGACTATAGGCGGTCTCGCTCCCTCGCTCCCTCCCTCGTTTTACAGATGAGGAAACTGAGGTGTTGTGAGATTACCTTACTTGCCCAAGGTCAAGGTGGAGGCAAGACTTGAACCCAGGTTCTGTGATTCCTGAGAAAGAGAGGGGGAGTGTTTGGAATTGTACACAAAGGCGGGAGAGGTGCAGTGATGAAAGTCACTTTGTGACAGTTCTGCAGAGTGTGTGCTGCACCTGAGACTTCAAGGCAGAGAGAGGGGCAGCTGGCGATGGGGAGAGAGCTGGGGATGAGGAGGGGGACGATGGGGCCAGAGAGCAGGCTGAGCTGAGGGGCAGGACTGGGTGGCGGGGATGCCTTCGATGCTTGGAGCACCGGCCCCCCCACGTCCCTCAGGACCTAGAATCCGGAAATCGCCCTCCTTTGTAGGATTTCCTGGGGACACACCTTTCCGGGCTCCTTCCAGGGTTAAGGTCCTGGCTTTCCCCCTGAACAAGAATTATGGGAGGCTGGACTCAGTTCGGTTCAGCCAGCCTTACATGTCTGTTATGAGGTGCTGGTGATGCAGTTTAGGGGTTCAGGGGTGCTGGGACCCCAAAATCACAACACGCGGGTCCTGCCCAAAAGAATTTGACCTAAGCCTTCTTTCAGCCAAAGACAAGGTTTATTAGAACATTGGCATATCGGGCAGACTCTTAAGGAGTCTGAACATGGGTAAGCAGTGGCTAGATTATAAGAATCAGAGCATCTTAATGGAGACAAGGTGGACCTGATATACAGAAAGACTGTGGGGGGGGCCTAGGAGTGGCCAGTAAGCTGGGGTGAACAGAACTCTTGGACCTGGACCTCGTGGCCAGGAGAGAATGGAGCCTAGCTAGGATTAAGGGTGGGCCATGCGTTGGGAGGTAAGACAAAGGAAGGCCAGGCTGGGTTAACCGAATTGGGAGATGTAGCCACAATGAAAGGCCAGTTGATGGACTTATAGCCTCAGGCTAAGGCCAGAGATTTGGCCAATTGGGAAAATGCAGGGTTTTTCCTTTCTGGGACCCAGATCCCAACCCCAGCACTGGGGCACTGCCTGGACATCCTCTTCTACCTTCAGAAGCCCAAAGTCGCACCTCTCTCTGCATCTTCACCTTTGCCCTGGGGAGCTGTGAGAACAGACAGTCCCCTTCCCTGTGATAGTCCTTCCAGTAACGTCTGGTCGTGCCCCCATAAGTCTAATGTTCTCCGGCTAAATGTCCCTGATTCCTTCAGAGCCTACTCCAACCAGACCCCACAGAGCAAAGGAATGCTGCCCCCCAAAGATAGGACCATAGAACAGAGTGTCAGAGCTGGGAGGGCCCTTAGAACACAGAAAATCAGAGCTGGGAGGGCCCTTAGAACACAGGATGTCAGAGCTGGGGGGGGACCCTTAGAACACAGGATGTCAGAGCTGGGAGGACCCTTAGAACGCAGGATGTCAGAGC